ATAGCTACATGTTTAAAAGCACCAATTTTAGTACCTTTTTTTTCCCCCGTGTATGAAACACAGTTAATGCACAATGTCATTGGTGTTCTTGGAGCAAGCAATTCTCAACATTAAGTGAACCATGAGCCTGTATAGCCAAGTCAGTGGAGTGATATTAACCAAAGCACAAACAAGAATTCATCTCCCCATTCTACTTTTCTTGCTGAAGCAAGATCTGCCTGGCTATTACTCTACAGCTAAGTAATGACCAATAGAATTCCTGACCGTCATTAAGTCTGGAAGTTTATTTACCTGCAATTTTCTTTCTAAAACTTGACAAAAAGAGTCATCTATAACAGAAAAAAGTGGATTGTTGCCAATTCTGAGTAGTGCTGAATGTTGCTCACAGGTTCTCCTGAATTCCGAGAATTGAGGAAAAAAATATAATTTCTTGTATCTCTTTTTGGACTCCCTATTTTTTTCGGAAGATCATCACTTATTTCCAACCAGAACTGATGTTAGTTATCAGACAATAAGGTTGCAATGTAAAAACTGAGCCCTCACCTCCTGGCTGTTTCCTTTCCGTAAGGATGTTAGTTGAGGTGCTCTAAACAAACTAAGGATGTCTCTTCTACTAACCAGGAGCTGAATTTGAGATTTGGATTTTATTTTCCCTGTAGTTTTTGTATTTTTCCAACTACCTGCTCYGGCAAAACCTATGACTTCAGTTGGTAACCCAGCTTGAGGCTGGTGTCTTTGAGTCTACCACCCCTGAAGAGTAGGAACTAAGGTCTGCAGGCAACTTGAGAAGGATGTAATCTAAAGCTCTTCTTTAGACACTCAAGGAACTGGAGCATGTGTGCTGCAAGCCCATAGAAGGCCAGTTCTGGAAATTGTACTCTCAGCCACTGTCATGTRAAAAGTGGTTTTCCCAGCTAGATACAGATAAACTTTCTTCCTGTGGTGAGGAGGTGGTAGGGAATCATCTACTTCCTTCTCTACCTGCTGTGCTACTTGCAGTCTGCATGCGGCTTTGTTATTATGAATATGCTAGAGAGAAATTTAGGTTTGTGGGCTTCAAAAGCACTGGGACAGAGCCTTCCATTTTGTTGCTACCTCCTAGGACTCAACAGGACTGTGCTGGCACCAGGGCTGCTTGAGACTGAATTCTTGGCAGTTGGACAAAGTAAAGGCTCTGCCGGATCGCGCTGGAACCGATCAGTGTGGCCTATTTATGTCACTAGGTATGGGACTCATGGGTTATTCCTGCCTGGGACCTGCTCTTAGAGATCACTGCCTCCCCTTAATGAGTAGTGTTTGTCAATGTCGGCCATGTGGAGATTTTTGGTTGTGTCTTGCCGGCTGCCTGTACTTTGCTCTTTCAGTCAGCAACCCAGCCCTGGTGTGTGCCCAGCTGGGTTCAACCAGAGCACGAACACCTGGCTGTGGGGACAGCTGTGGGGTAGTGCAGTGTCATGCTCCCAGAACAGAGAAGCTGGATTCAAGGACTGCATGTGAAATCTTTTGAACAGGGGTGTCCTGGTTTGACTCGGTCAGATTTTTGGTGGTGGGGGGATGGGACCAAGAAACCATAAAGATGGCTCCTGTGACAAAGTTTTAGAAACTTTCTCCTTCTCCAGCAAAAGGAGCCTTGCCCCCTGTGTTTTAGAGCCAATCCATTATGGCTCTGAGGTTGATGGACAGGCTGCTGCTTCTCCTTGTAAATTTTTCCCTATCTTTGTCCCCCTTCCCGGTGTGGTAGTTTTCTTAGTAGTTTTTTGTAATAAATCTATTTTGCAACTTAAGTTATTCAGCCTGTCTGACCATTCTCTGGAGCATATATGTATCTTTCTCTCAATTATGTTATGCTGTCTAAAAGCCATAAAATTTAGTGTTGATTGGGCTTTTGCTCTCCCTTCTGCCTCTACGTTGGGGGCAGGAAGGGAACATCGTGGGTGCGGTGCTTTTGGCTTTTGGCCCAATTCAAACCATAACAAGGGGAAACTGAAAAGAAAAGAGAATCGCTAACCTTATCAAGCAGCTGTTAAAATGCTGATTGGTGGTACAGATTCCATTACTCCTGACCGAGTAAGAACTTCTTACACCACAGGAGGAGGTCCGAAATAGATCAACGGGGCCACCCATCTTGAAGTATTTTCTTCCATTCTCTCCTGGGCTAAAAAAGCCACAAAAGTAACAAAGTACACRTCACACAGTGTCTTACTGAGAGAATTTCTGGAAAGTACTTGTGTGCTTAAACAAAACCAAACAGCAAGGCAAATATATCTTGAACTGTAACAATGACTCTATCAYGAGACCAGAGCGATATTAATAGTGCTCAGTCCTGCCCAGAATGATTTGTTCTTAAAGACTGATTTAAATGTAGTGCTTATTTCTTTCTGTYCCAGTTATCTTCTTCAAATCTCTCCTGTTCTTTTGTTCACATTTTCTTTTTTCTTTTTTTCTTTTTCCCTGTAAGCATTGTCATATAAACATCAYATAAAATAAGCACTAGTTTTTAAGAAAAAGGAGAGAGAAGTGATATTCATAATTAGACATTGTTAAGTTTTATCTATGAGCAGATCAACAGATCTACTATGGAATACACTCAGGGTTTTCATTTGTGTTCCCTCCAGTTCAAGGGAGACTATAATGAGCTTTTTAAAGAATAAACTGATTCGAAAAGATCCTTCTAAAGAGAGAAACTTAACATTCAAAAYGCAACTCAAAGAAATGGTGACCTTTACATTCCAAAGCTGACTGCCTCAAAATATAATATGTTAGAGATACAACATAAATAATCTTTTTAGGTTAACTCTGTATATTAAAGCCAAAGTAATAATATTATGCTCACTCTCTACAACACTGTGATCACCAAGGACACTGCACACTTAATCTGCTGAGAGCTTTGGCTTCAGCCATCGAAGTCCAAACAACCACACTTGAGTTTTACTAAATATCAGTCAGAAAAATCGGCAGGAAAAGTGCCAGAAACTCTAGCCATCTGGTAGTGAATATTTTAATCAATATCTTTCAGACTGTTCAGGAAAGTTGCTATTAGCAAGCACTGTGTTTTGAGGAAATTAACGATTAAAATTAATAATTTAAAAAGTGCATTGTGGCCAGAAGAAGATTAATTGCTCATGGCCCACTTGGATCAGATATATCAGAATCGCAACTGCTTTTACTGGATGCRTATTCCTGGGATTGCTGCTCTTCCAGTTAAAACAAAGGTGAATCTCCCAGGGTCCGTGAGGCTCTCCCGCCGGGGACCGCGCTCTCGGTGGCGAAGCGGGCCCTCCGCGCTGTTGTGGCCTTCGCCGGCCGCCGTCCTGGCGGGGCTGCGCGCGCGGGGCCTCGGGGCGGGGCGCGATGGCGGAGCCCGGGTGAGACGCGGGTGAGTGTCGGGGTTGGGATGCGCCCCGGCCCCCTTCCCTCCGCTCCTCTCCTCTCTCCTCCTCTCTTCTCCCCTCCCGTCCTTCTCTCCCCGGCCCGACTGTGACGGTCTGGTCGAATTTGCCTTCTTCCTGCGCGATGTTCCCGTCTCCTGTGGGGCCTTCCCAGTGCTCCGCCTTARCGTTGGGAGGAGGAGACGAATCGCCTGGCGGGAATCTCCGGAGGGGTTGGGGTCGGGATGCAGCTCGGGGATGGGGTACCCTCAGCGTGGGGGGAGGTCGGGTAGGGGGGCCGGACTTAGGCGGCCTCCAGGTGTGCGTGATGCAGGCCGGGACCCGGCTGCACCTCGCCGGTGGGCTCTATTTATTTATACGTATATTGTTTACGTATGTATCTGTAAGAGGAGAGATTGCGGGAACTGGGCCTGTTTAGACTGGAGAACAGAATACTGAGAGGAGTTTTCATTAAAGCCTATAAGTATCTCAGAGGCGGATGGTGCCAGACTCATCAGGTGCTCGGTGACAGGACGAGGTGTAGTGGCCATAAACTAAAACGCAGGAAATTTCACTTTAAAATGAAGAACATTACAGTGAAGCTGGCAGAGCACTGGAACAGGCTGCCCGGGGAGGTTGTGGCGTCTCCTTCTCTGGAGACGTTCCCATGTAACCTGCTCCAGGTGGCCCTGTGGCCCTGCCTTGGCAGAGCTGGATGATCTCTGGAGKTGCCTTTCCCAACRCTAACAATTCTATCATTCTATGATATGTACATATACACGTATACAATATGTGTATGCAATGCTTGCTCTCAATGTGTATTAACGCTGCAGTTTTCATCTGCTCTGTGTGCGCCCGGGAATAAAATTCCGGGGCTTTACCGGAGACACCTGTTGGTAAATAGAGGAAAGGAGCGGTCCTATTCCCACCTGGATGGGAGTCCTCGATTGGTATGTGCAAGGAGATTGAGGAGGAGTGGCCAAAACAAATTAGCACAAGGGAAGTTTGGTTTGTGACAAGATGTTAAAACAACTGCATTTTTTTATTTATTTACTAGCATTTTTTAAGAGAAACATACAGTTCTGTAGTTGCCACTTGGCTGTATGAGAAGAATGTATCAACTTCTAATTTTGTTAMTGCTTCTTATTTCAGTCAATCTACCAGAATAGCTGCAGGAATCTGTCTTTATTTTTTTTGCTTGCGAACGAGAGCTCATGCATGCATATGGAACTAGTGTGGATATCAAATAATTTGTTTTAAAATAACTTCACAGTGTTTTAATTTTAAAAMAAGTTGTGAATGACTTGAACTAAAATTTACTTTTGATCTCTCTCCCTTTTTTTATTCAAAATTTTAAACTGACAGAAGACAGAATCTGGCGGAATCTGAGAGAAGTTAAATACATCTGACTTTGACCAAAAAAAAAGGCTCTGTAGAAGAAGGATAAAAAGATCAGTGCCCCTCCTCAGGAGACAGGGAAAACGTGGCTACTCTTTCATCTTGCCAGCCAACCAGTGTGTGAACCCAGTCCACATGAGGTCTAACTGAGCCAGAAATGTATTTCTGCAAAGGGAGGATGAATGCTTGTTTTACAATAAYACGAATTCATGGTTTTCTATCTCTTAATTCTGTTCATGCCATATCTTTTTTTTTCCTTTCCTCCTCCCTACCTGCCCAGGATTACTATCYAGGAGGATTAAGACTTTGCTTAAAAAGGTAGGATTTTTAGTTTGGCTGTATTCTTTCTTTCATGGGCTACTGTAACAAGCTAAGCTTATTTGTTTTTCCAGCTGCTCCATTACATTGGATATTTTTCTATAAGAGAGAAAAAACAACAAATCAAAAAAAATCAAATGTATTCCTTTCTAGGAATTAATTTGATAACTTTACCTATTTGTACATATTGTCAGTGGTATAAAGTAGTCTAAGAGATGTCACCCCTCCCTCTTACTCTTTATTGCTAGATTTTCCACAGATGTTTTTTTTTGGTTCATCTTTTGCAGGATTGTTTTATAGATCCTGTTTTTTTTTTTAATCTGGAAGAGTCCTAATTGCCTAAGCAGCTGGGGCAGATGCATCCTCTTTTGTGACATCATTCTGTTCCATCTTAAGTTAAATGTTCACGTGTGATGGTTCAGTTTACATGAGGTTCTATTTTAAAGTATATTTTGCAAGAYTGACTGAAGATTGACATGCTGGGAAAATGCACAGATGTTTAACTTGTGTTCTTCAGTAATTCATTTGGAACATCTGGAARTGTTTTTATGCCAGTAGCAAATCTTGTTCCTCAAATTTTAAAGAAATTAAAGACTTTGTTTTTTTTGTTCTTCACTTTCAGTTAGGAATGTGTTGTATTTTCCCTGTAATCTCTGTGACATGCCCTTCTGTGATTTCCTCAGTAAACTGTTGGGATATGTAAAAAATCCAAGTTTCTGATGGTACTTCAGACATTCTGATTAAAARTTACGGCACAGGATGGCATGTAATGAATGCAGTGACTTTTTTATAGATTCTTGTAGCAAATGGCTTTTTTTTCAGTTCCTGAAAACAAATCTGGATTTTGACATCTGCTGGGTGACACATATGCATATATATATATATATTTGCTTTCTTGTGGAAATATAGTTAGATTTTAGCAATCTTCTAGAATATTTTCCTAGCCAGATTATAATGTGTTTATATTTTATTAKTTAGGTATAGTTGCTTAATGTCTTGTACCTGAAGACAGAAATTTTTACTTTACTGTCCTGATGGATGAACTAATTCAGACAAAAGGCCTATGATATTAGGAATTCTAGGAATAGCTTGATTTGTTTTCAAAGGATTATGAAAACATACTTAGATAGTGTCCACACATGAATAAGAGAGCCTGAATGGCCTCTGAAGTAGTCATTTGGATTCTGTATCTTTCATTCTTCTCTGTGATCTGAGTGGACGTACATCCATCATATAACATGAACTCATTATTTTATGATGTTGATGATTAAAAGCATCTTGGATCTGTTGTGTCAGAGGAGATGAAGTGTTTTTGAATTAGAAGATGACAAGGTGCAGATGATTTATAAACAAGCCCTTAAGAATGTGTATGGTTTGTGGCTTTCTCCCTACCTGTGTTTGAGGTATCAGGGGAAGAGGGCATTCCAAAAATGTCTGTCGACAGTGGGTTGTTTTTATGCGCTCAGTATCCCTCATGCGTGTGATATATTGCAYACATGCATAGAAATACATCTGACTTTTCTTTAAGAGAAATGTGCGGTAGATACTAGACCTTAGTTTTGTATTCAAATGCTTTGCTAATGCCAGTCTTCTCCAAAGCTTCTTGAAGATGCCTGCTGCATGTGAGCCAGTGCTTGAGGACATCGAAGACATTGTGTCAGCAGAAGATTTGAAGCCACATGATCGGCAGTTTGTGAGAAAGAATGTTATTCCCAAAGTGCGAAAACGCAACTCCCACAAAAATGTTCAGACAGATGATGAGCCCCCAAGTGACAGGTAAAGTCTTACATCGACCCTATGTTGTTGCTTTTCTTGTATCTYGTATGCACTTGTCAGCTTTTAAAAATAAGGTGCAAGTTTGCATTATCTCATCAYGTAAAATCTGAATACTAGATAAAAACAAGTAAAATAGTCCTTTTAGAATGTAGAGAGAATAAAYAATAAATTCTAAGCAAATTTGTTTTCCTGGACAGATTTTCTGTAGATATCAGTTATCCCTGAGATGTTGAYGAATAGAATAGTCAGACTGCAAAAATGGTTGTTGTTGTGCTTTTATGYGTAAAACGTATTTGAAAAATTGTCTGTTTCATCTCAGTTACCTAAATACAATCGGAGCTCTTCAAAATGCAGTCCTGGAGTAGCCTTTTGACATCTGAAATGAGAAATAAGAACCAAATCCTGAGAGCTGCAAAAGGATTGAGGTTGGAAGGTCATCTTCTCCAAACCCCCCTGCTAGAGTATGGCCACAAAGAACCAGTTGGCAGGACACTGACTAGGTAGTTTTTGTGTATCTCCAGGATATTGAGATTCTATTACCTCCCTGGGTAACCTATGCCAGTTCTTGGTCATTCTTAGAGTAAAAAATATGTTTCCTGATGCTCAGAGGGAGCCTCCCATGTTTCAGTTTGTGCCTKTTGCCTCTGGTCCTGTCACTGGGCAGCACTGAAGAAAATCCTGGCTCTGTCTTTGCACTCTTCCTTCAGGTATTTATATACTTGGATGAGATCCCCCTGAGCCTTCCAGGCAGAGCAATACCAGCCCCCTCAGCTTTTTCTCTTAGGAGACATGTTCCAGTCCCATCGTGATCTTTATGGCCCTTTGTTGAATTGTCTCCACTATGTCCCTATCTCTCTTGTGGGTGCATCCTGTCAGGGCCCAGGGACTTAATGTATGCTTGGTGTGCTGAACTRTTCCCTGACCCAATCTCCTTTCATAAAGGGTTCATCATCCTTGCTTCAGCCTTTCAAACTGTTTTCTGGATACTGAGATTTCCAAAARCTGTACTTCATGTGTGTACATCCTGCAAGTGACATGGTGAAACTTACTTTGAACTTGCTGTTTTGTTTCAGTGGAAATAGCATGCAATAACTATGGAATGTATGCTTGCATTTTTCCTATCTTGTGATTCCCATAAGAACACAATCAGCTTTCTGCTGCAGTGGAATTGATTAGTGTAGGTCAGTTATTGATTATAGTTTCTACTGCAGTTCTGAGATCTGGGTTTTTTTCTTTTTTTTTTTTTTTTTTTTCTTTTATTAGTTTCAAGTTGGTATATATAGTTTCCCTGTACGATAAAGATGAAAATAAATTGCATATGGAAATTTAATTTCCCATGGAGAAATTAAATTCTGTTTTTTCATTTTCAAAAGAGGTGTTATGAGCATAACTGCATCTTTATTTCATGCTCCTAAAAGTGCTTTGGCCCCAGTCTGCCAGGAGTGTACAGAGAGCTGAACTGGTTCTCTGTRGATACTTTACACTAGTATTTCATGCCCCAAAGTATTCAGGTACCATATATTCTCTAACAGGCTGTGTTTTAGTGTTTTTTACCCAAGACAGCACATTGAATATATGTTGTTTAGACAGCAGGAAGTCCAAATACACTGTGTTTACACTTAATGATCATTAATGTTCCATCAACAAATTTCTATTTTTAGCTAGGGGAAGTGTCTTTTAAAAAAGAAGCATGTAGGGGGAGGCCAAAAAAAAGCAGTAGGCAGGGCGCAGTATTGTGTTCCAGGATGTGTGGTGTTCTTGTACYGGCATCTTTAGCTTATTGGCAGTTATCCCAGAAATTTCAGCAAGAGCTTATTGAAGAACTTTTGTTGCTTCTTGGAGCATTGTATGTGCTAGCTCCACACTGCATGTCTGTCATGCTGCTTCTCTAACCTGGAAAGATTGGGATGGGGGCTTTCTGCTGTTTGTGTGGCTGGTGGCCATCAAGTTAWGAATTTGTAGAGCTGGCTTTTATGGAGGGAGCTACAATCAATGCATGCCATAATATCAAAAGGTTGCAATTTGTTTGCTGGTGGCCTAATTTCAGTTCTGTCACTTGAAGGTTGCTTGTTACATGATACATAATTTTGAGTAAGTTGGGGAGTTTAGGTTTGGGATTTGTTAATTTTTTTTTTATTTGTGTTTTACTGGAGTTTTTGTTGTTGTTTTAACATAACTGCAGTGTACTGAATCTGTTGTTATCCTACAGATCTTGTACCTTCTCCATCCTAAAACTCTTTTCTAACTCTTTTCTTGTTAGCTGTGGTGGATTGACTCTGCCACAAGGGAGAGAACTGGAAGAATAAAAGTGAGAAAACTGGTGGGTTGAGATTGAAAACAGATAAAGTGAAGGAAGGAGCAGGGAAAAACCCCAAGTGATGCAAAAGCAGCCATTTGCCACCTCCCACAAGCAGACTGGTACCCGACCAGTCTCAGAACAATGGTTATTTTGGAAAGACCAAACCCACTTGGTTTTTACTGCTGAGCATGATGACATCTGGAATGAATTATCCTTTTGGTCAGTAGTCTGTTCATGTTCCTCCCAGCCTGTTGTCCATCTGCAACCTGCTTGTGAAGGGTTGGGGCACAGTGGGAAAAAAGCAAACAGTGTTCAGTGGTAGCTGAAACACAGGTGTGTTGCCAACACTCTTACAGTCACAAATATAAAACACAGCACTATATGGGTTGCTGTGAGGAAAGTTACTCTATCCCAGCAAGACCTAATACCCATTACACTAGAATCACATAATTACTGTTTTTCCTCAGCTGTTGCAGAATTGTTACTGTTTGTGTTGTTTATTTTATGTTTCAAGAATTACAATTCATTGTGTCAGCACAGTGGGCCTAAAGGGGAAGCTTGTTCATCATTTAACTTGTATTTTTCATTCCTTTTTACTTGACAGCATTATTCCTGGTGTTCAGAAAATCTGGATTCGTACATGGGGATGTTCTCACAATAATTCAGATGGTGAATACATGGCTGGACAGCTGGCTGCRTATGGATACACAATTACAGGTAACAGTATGAGTGAGCACTTGTAATTCAGTTTTTCTGGGGTGMATGTTCAGAGCTGTCAAGCTGTCAGCAAATGTTTTCAGTCTTAATTGTGCTTTTAGAATCCCCTTTTGATCCCTTTGTGATCTGAAGGTGAGGAGGTGAAATGTTTTCTTGGCATTAAGCAGAATCATTACAGGATGAGTGCTTTCAGAATAGTTKGATTTTCTTGACATGCCAGACATCAAATAGATTTCATACAGTGCCTTTTTTGCACATTCTGCTTGATAAACTGAATTGAAAAGTTGTCATTAGAGTGGACGGGAAATACATTAGTTCTTTTTTTTTAATTGTAATTGGTGGAACCCAAGGGGGAGGCAGAGAAAGGCAATGTATTTGCATTTGGTGATGTGTGTGTTTGTGCTGGAGCAGAGGTGATCTAATCCAGGGGTGATACTATAGAAACAAAATGGTCTTTTATTTCAGGAGAGATCAGTATGATGGAGGTGGGATGATACGGGATTGTACCTTGTAGGTTCCAAGCAGCTGAGAATGCTCTTTCTCCTTCCCTTCCAAGTACTTAAAAAAACTTGCCCATTATCTTGTTCTGCCTCCCCAATCCTAAAAATACTCCCAAGCTTGTGGCTGTGCTGACCACATTTCATCTCATTAATGCAAAATACACTGACAAAAAAGCTGAAAAGATGAATTAATACCATGTTTCAATGGCCAAGTATTATCTGAATACTTTTGTGAAGCTTTTGACTAGTCAAAATAGAAATTTAAATTTTATTTATTAATTCAAGTTCAGGTGTGTCTTGCACTTAAACTTTATACTGAAAGACTGCAAAGTTGTCTGTCTGGACATTTTTCATAGTTCTTGTCAATCTCTTTTTAAGAAAGCATGTTTGGCTTTTTTTTATATTAAGTCATTTGGGAAGTTCAGGTAGAATTTCAGTTAGGGATTTGATCTCTTTGTTCTGTGAAGTGAAACAGTTACTCAGTAATAATAACTGTTGCTTAACATGATCCACATTTCAAATATTTCTTGAAATTAAACGATATTATTTATGGCATACAGAAAATACGAAGAAAATGTTTTCCAAGAGCTGTTTTGTAGACCAATGGCTGTGTTGTTATAATTTGTTAGTTTGTTATGTAAAATCTTTATAATCTTGAGTAAAAGAAGTATGTCGTAAGGTTAAAGATTGTTGTCGCAGTGTCTTGGACAGATAATACTTAAGTGAAAATGTTTGGATTAGCCTATTTTCTATMTATTCCTAATCTGTTGACACAACACTTACTGAAAAGATGCTGGACTAAAGTTCTGACTTTAGAAAATAATGTGTGAGCTTTAGTTGCAGTTATTACTCCATTATGGAGTCAAACACTCTTTCTAGTGTCTTCTGTCTAACTGCAAGATTGGAAAAAAGCACGGAAGGAAGAAAAGCAGCATCAGACAGACTCCTGCAAATTAGAAGTTGTAACAATGCAACCTGCCCACCAATTGTCTTATCTGAAACTGGACATGGATATAATGCCCTCCTTGCTTTTCATGTGTTTCAAAAATGTTCTTTCTGTACAAGCGCCCTTTGTTGCTTCCAGGAGTGTCTATATCCAAAGGTGAAAACYGAGGGCTGTGCTTTTCACAGCAAAGACTGCCTTTGTCTGGGGAGAAACCACTGTGAATCAGCAATATACGGATTCTGCAATAACAGCAATGGTGATTAAAAGTCAGAGGCTGCATCAGCTTAAAAATAGGCAAAAGGAAACCAGCAGAGGAGCTGAACCTACTTTTGTATCTGCTTTTACAGTGTGAAGGTAGGCAGCATTCTAAACAAATCTTGCATACCATCCTGTGGGAACAAAATGATCCTTTGTGAGCCTGAGCCACACAGAAATGTGTGGACCAGCTGCTATCAGTGTAGGGCTGTACCATGGGTGCATTCTGAAAACAGTGTAGCTGATGGTGGCATTACTGGTTCTAAAACTGGTTTTGGTTTCTTGGCAGCATGACTTGCTGTATAGTTTAGATATGCCTGCAGACCTGCTGGAGTGCTCCCTGTGAGATAYGCCCTGGAGGAAGAAACTCTCATGGTGCAGACGAGTAATGCCTGCTCTGAAAAACAGGAAGTGGGCGAGCTGGGAGCTTTCRAATATTGCAAGCAACATTTCTGTTTGGGAAGGGAGTTCAGTTTGTGTGCCATGTAGCTGCACTTTCTCTCTGAAAGATGGAACTGCACATGTACAGTACGACATAGAATGCTTTGTCTTCTGAAGTGTGTAGTTGTATTCACATATGTTGGCGTCTCTGTGTTTTTCGTTCTGTGGAATTAATGGGTTTTGGCCCAGCTTTGAATGCATTTTGATGGATCAAGACATTAACTGTGCTTGTTATTTCATACAGATTACTTCTGGCTTGGGGTTGTTAAGGTCCAAAGCATTCYCTCCTCAGCCATTGTAAAACATGATGGAGGGAGGAAAGGCATTGGTAGTTCTGAGAAATATCAGAAGCATGAACACTAACTTTTTCTTTTATGAAGATGAAGCAAAAGCTGTTATTAACCATCCAGTGAAGTAAGACCAATAACAGCTTATCTGCACTACACTTTCGTGGATTTTAGAAATAAATGCTGGCACAGAACTTACTCCTTCTCTATCATGGGATTCTAGAAACAAGAAGGTGTGGATTTGTTTTGCTGCTAATTCAGTGGGCTTGGCTTAGATTTAGCACTTAGAAACTGGGTTATGTTACAGACCTTTAGCTTTACTTGTGCTATTTTAGACTAATCTAAAATTAGTTCAGGCATCCTGTTCACTGTCTCAGGAATTTCTTTTGCAAGTGTTGGATGGAAAGTTGCTGTGTAGAGCTCACTCCATTATTGTGTTTATGTTATTAGTTGGCAGGACTTGTATCAGTGAGACTTGCCAATTCCTATTGAATCTTAGTGTTCATAGCCCAAGTTAMATGTCTTACAGCTCTGTAACACCCTGTGCAGAGAATTTATGTATTTCTCTAAAGCAAATATCAAATAATACTTTGAAATCCCATTAAAGAAATTATCTATTATCTGGGGTTTTTTGCCTCTTCTACTTGTTAATTTTCTAAACACTTGTCAGTTTTGTTTACCAGTGGATATAACTGAGATATCATTAAGACTCTCCATCTGCTTAAACAGCACATTTGAGTAGAAGAAAGAAGGAAGAAGACAAGAAAGAAAAAATGCTATTGATCTCCTTAAGACCTCATGTTGAAAAGAAGACAGGTGTAARAGTAAAGAGTCTACTGTTGAAAAGCAGATGAGGTGCTGCTACAATCTAATATGGACTTCGGCRTTCAAAGGCATTGTCTTGTGTTCATTGTGTTGCATAAGCCATGCTTGCTCAGACTTCRGCCATCCCCGTACAGACATAGCAAAGCATGCTGCAGCATGAGTTTATTCATCCAAGTTCAAAATAAAATTATTAAGACTGTACGGGTATTGATTCATGGGCTGTGAATCACTTCGGAATCTGGTCTTCTGTTTCAAGTATTGTTTTAAAAGTACTTTCCTACACAATAAAATTTTATTACTAGATTTTGATTTATTACATTAGAGACCTGTTGAATAGGTTAATGTATTATTAAAATAAGCTCTTTGCATGGTGGTTGATGAAGTATTTTGACCAAGATCTCTTCTGGTGTCCAGTGTATGCTTTTAGTTGCTCAGAATCAGCAGTTGGTCTTTTCAWTTTTTACTCTCCACCCTGCTGATAGTGCTCATATGTTCCTTCAGTATAATGTAAAATGGTAGTGACTACAGTGTAATTTTTGGGGTGAGCCATCCTTACTGTGACGTTATTTTTAGTATTCCTTATTAAGCTAAAAGACAAATCTTTGTTAGCTGCTCATTAAGCATCTTATCAGTCAGAGGATTCAAGGTTAGTCCTTATGTCTGGATTTGTACTTTTCAAATGGTTCTGAGTGCAGTTCCAATTTAGAAAAAAAGTTAATTTACAATCATTTTTTGGAGGGCAGGATATGCATGGTGTGTGTTTAAATACGCAGAATACCCCACACTTCTTTTCTGGTGATGAGAGGTGTTTCTGTTTTCTCTGACAACAATGCAGTTATGAAACTGTCTCTGAAGCAGCTAAACAATGCAGAAGAGTGAACAGAGATGTAAATTCTGGTGTTTGTACTCTCGCTGAAGAATTCCCCCATTGACTATGACTTGTAGAGTCACAGCCCTGTATGGTTTTTGCATTGCTTGATATCCTTACTGGCATACCTGTTCTGCAACAGATTCCTCTTTCAGATTCAAGCTGATTCATAATCTGGATGTAAAAGCTTTTGGATGTTGATACTCAGAGAGGTAGTAAAGTAATTTATTTCTGTACCTGTTGTCTTGAGATAATTGCCTTACAGTTCCAGCGATGTGGACAATTCCAGTGATGTGGATTACTGCTTTTAGAAGGTCTGAGTTTCTGCTTGTCACTAGKTTGTTTTGTGTGCTGATTCTTGGTGCTCAGGCTTGAAGAGCATGCGCTGACATTCCATTAGTATGGGAATAYTTGGGATGTGGGTGTGGAGATTTTCTTTTCAGAATCTGAAACTTCTGTGGTGAGGTGGTTAAGAGGATGAGGAGAGAGGGTGAAATGGGACATAGTGGGGAAGAAAACAGGTGAGGATCATAGAATRTAGCAGATGGAGTTGCACAACTGTACATGATCAAGATTTCACAGTTCTTTGGAAGAAACAGACATTCCCAGTGCAGTCAGAAGTGTCCTACAAGTCAGTGAGTGGGATGATGAGTCTGGATATTGTTGGGGTGGTTTCWTTCAGTGTGGAGTTCGTACAGCATCATGTTGTGACTCATCTGCAGCACAGCATGTTCCTCAAGTCTGTAAACTAACGTATAATTGTGGTTTTGGCAGCTGTGTATTACTGCTCCAGTGTTCCCTGTAAAACTTCCTAACCCGTGTGTGGCTAGACTTCTGTTACTTATCACTTCTGACTTGTAGCACAGTGCAAGATATAC